TATATATATATATATATATATATATATATATATATATATATATATTGTAGACAATTTTTTACACGTCTATTATAATTGTATATAATTATAGTTTCAGCGGAACTTTCGCTTGCAAAGACAAACATACGCCAAATTGAAAAATTTATATGAAGATTCGGATTTTTGCCAAAAGGCTATCGATAATAATCACACTATTTCTAGTGATGCAAAATTGCTAGCTTTTTTATGGTAATAAAATATAATATTCATATGACAAATATATATATGTGTTCCACCAACAAATACTGTAAAGTAATTTTATTGGCCACGTGTTATCTTATAAGATAACTTAGATAACTTAGATAATATGTAGCCAATAAATAGCTTTATGTTACATACGCTACCACAAGTCAAAATGACGTGGGTATCCAGATAGCACAGATAATTGAAAAAGAAATGAGTTCATTTTTTTATGCAAAAAGAATTCATTTCACTGAACTGAACTCTGAAGAATTCTGTTTGCATCTGAAAATAAACAGAATCGGTGACATACGACTGAATTCTTTTTTAATTCGTTTGAATTCTCTGTGATATCCCCACAAAGAATCTATGTTACATCCACGTGGAATCACGTCAAATCACGTTCAATCCATATGATTTTGTGGATTCCACGTGGACTCCACGTGGATTCAACGTGGATTCGACGTACGTTTTTGTGGGGATCTGGGTATGCTACCTGGATTGTTGGAAAAGCTATAAAAAGTTATAAACACATCTGAAACAGCACAGATCTCCAAGGGACATTCTAACATCCTACAGATGTTTCCATGAAATTCCTTAGAAATTTGTGCTATCTGGGATATATATACATATATCTATAAGTAAATATTATTTCAAAATTATAAATACAAATCAATGATAGAGAAAATTTTTTCCATGGAACATGCAACACTAACCCGGAAACCAGAAGAAGATAAAGAAATATGTGTAGTATACAAACATATACAGTGTGTCCCATAAGTTCGGCAACGGCAAGAAAACTCGGCGGGGGAGCATTTTAGAGAAAAATGTTTCGAATAAAAGTTGTAAGGCTTAAAAAGTCGCATTTAATGACAGTAGTTATTTGACCTAAGATGACGTCGCCAAAGTCAGGACAAGGTCAACGTTGCTTTTTTAGATAGAAATACATATTTTTTATTACGGCATTTTATTCTACGTGAAAAAGCAAACAACTTTTGTTTGAAAAAAATTTTTATACGACCTCTATTTTCTAAGATATTTACGTAAATATCTACAAAATTATTGGTTTCAATAATTTTTTACTTGAATTCTATTAACTTTACCGAAAAATATTAAGAGATAAAAATTGCTTATTTTGTTTTCAAAGAGCTCTGAGAATTTTTTCAGAATTTTGTGTTAACTTTTTAGTACTTCAAGAAAATGCAAGAAAATGCAGTACTAAAAAATTAATATAAAATTCTGAAAAAATTCTCAGAGCTCTATGAGAACAAAATAAATAATTTTTATCTCTTGATATTTTTCGGTAAAGTTGATAGAATTCAAGTAAAAAATTATTGAAACCAATAATTTTGTAGATATTTACGTAAATATCTTAGAAAATAGAGGTTGTATAAAAAATTTTTTCAAACAAAAGTTGTTTACTTTTTCACGTAGAATAAAACGCCGTAATAAAAAATATGTATTTCTATCTAAAAAAGCAAAGTTGACAATTCTTCGAACTCAGTTTGGTTTACGAAATTAAACATGATAAAATGATAAGTAATGAAGGATAATTGTCATTTTTATAAATACAT